ATAAATGAAAATACAGTGCCTTCCAGCCTCCCTCGTTAATTGGCTATATTATATACAAGCAGAGAGAGGTAGTTAGCCACTAGGGGTGTGCGAAACGGGCTGTATTCGATTCAGTTTTGGATTTGACCCGAATCAGGGACAGTGATTTGATTTGTTGATTCAGATCACTGTCCCTGATTTGATTCAGCTGAATCCAAATGTGAAGATCCGAAGCTGATTCAGAGAATCAGCAATTCAGCCACAGACACAACTTTAAATTTTTTTCTACATACCTCGAGGTGCCAGGCATGGCTCATGAATGCTGTGATGCTGGGGTAGATGGAGCCTCCCACAGGAGCGCAGGGGGGGCCCCCCATGTGCTTGGTGGCGAACCTGGAAGTGGACCAGAAGTACTTCCGGTCTACTTCCAGGTCCACTGCTGAGCATGCAGGGGGGCCTCCCCCCACATCCCTCCACCCCAGTGATTGGCCATGTGGGGACCCCGGGTGCCCCCTAGACCCAGGAGGCCAAGCCAGGAGGGTGCAGGAGGGCCCCCCTGCACACTCTCCAGGGGGAGCTGAGACACTGGGCAGGGGGGCTGGGGCCCTGTGGGGGTGGTATTTCACATGCTGTGGGGGGCAGCTACAGCCTGTGGGAGCCAGGGGAGCCACCCCTCCTGAGCAGCCCCCCCACACCCACAGTCCCTGTAGCAATCACCCCACACCTACCCACTCACCAACCCACATCCCTCCACATACACCCAACCACCTTCCCCCACACTCCTTCCCACCACCTTCCTGCAAACACCACATCCCCCCATCACACATCCATCATGTGCAAAGAAAACCAAAAGTATACAGCAATACATATAGGTTTTTAGAATTTATTTTATCATGATGATAGAGACACCGGTAGGCTTCTACATTGCTTTAACATTGTAAAGATACCAATAAAGTATTGCCCAACTGATCGCGTTCTCTCTCTCTAGATATATATGTGTGCGTGTGTGTGTGTGTGTGTGTAGAGTGGTCTTTTGTTTTAATTGTAAAAACATAGATTTTGAGGTATTTTAAAAATGGATTTGGGATGCTGCTGCAGCAGTCCAGCTAGCACAAGGGGTAGTGTCCCCAGGTATGAAGTGGCCAGGCCCCTGAAGCTCTTGAGAGTGAGTAGCCCTGAGCTGCTTGCCAGGGCAGCTTTTTGTATGGATGGGGCCAGGACAGGGCAGCTTTTTATACTTCTGGGGACAGCACAGGTGCTGGCCCCAGACTCTAGCTCCCCCTGGCTGCAGATCCGGGAGGAGTCAGGCAGGGTTATTTTGCTTCAAGTGGCACAATTTGCTCCACAACAAAGTACATGTCCGAGCACATACGCCGAGGCAAAAAGCTCCAGCTCAAATTTGCAATGTTTCTATTTGAGCTGCTGCAAGCGAATGTGCTTACGTGTGTGGACACACCCTTTAGGGACTGTCTGGGACAACCTCTCATGGTAGAAGGGCTGTTTGCATAGGTTTTATGGCTTTTAGATAAATAGGATTTTCTTCAGTGTATATGACCTTCTGTGGATTCACCCCGCTGCATCAGCTTTGGAGTTCCTTTTGACAGTAGCGTATCTTACATTGCAGCTATGGAGCTAGACATTGGTTCTTTCCACTTTATTTCTTTCTGAGATGCACAGCTGCTAAACCAACCTGAAGCATTGAACCACAGACTTCCAAACAGAGAATGAGTCTTTACAGATTGAGGAGAACAGCCAGGCTTTACAGTGGAATGAAGACAGGTAATAAAAACTTACCAGCAGATTACAGTAATTCATCACAAGTGCTCATGATGTCTGTGCTAACAAACTATTTTCCTTTAGCTGACTTTTTATACAAGACAAAGTCTCCTATAGCATGCTCACTTACATTTTTCTTTCATTGCCATGTTTTTTTTCTTAGGGTACCCATGGGACTTAGCACAATCATCCATACATGCTGAAGGTGTTCCTTTTAACCACTGTCCCATACAGGAAAGTGTGCACACAAAGCACACACAAAATGTTTCAAAAAGATATTTCTACTTTTTTGTCAACTAACAGCCTTGTTATTTGTAACAGTGACCCCACCCAAAACCTCAGAGTTTTTCAGCTACCAACAGAACTTCCCCAAATCTGTATGGTTCCAACAAGCATAGTTGCCTTTCCCCAGTAAACAAATTAAGCCCTACACTTTTGTCTTCACTGTTTACAGCTTACCTTTAAAAATGCCACATACACTGTCTAGGCACATCTTTCTCTCAGCCTGGAGCCTTTGTATAAGCTTCCTAGGCTTTTCTTTGGATGAGCACAGGACTTCAGTTTCCAGTGCTGTTAATATGGCACTTTTATAGCACATTTTATAAAAGAAATATGCTTTATTTGAAAACAGATCTTTTCAGGAGCAGAACATTCATTATACACCTGTTGAAAGAGAAAAGAAGGCACTTGCTTGTTTTGGAGAAGTAATACTTGTTTTGAAAGAACATGTTCCCCTTCTGTCGCTTCACCAAGGACTGGAAACAGCTCTGGGCAGTCTTGGTATGTCCATGTCCCAGCTCTTAAAAGACATTGGTTAAATATATTGTAAGTCCAGGAAAAATAATGCCAGCACCTCAAGTTGCACCTAGCTAACCATCTTAATGATAATGGTGCCTTGACTACCCCTCTGTCTGTCTCCCAAGCCCTCTCTTGCACACTTGTACTAGTAAAATGGAGATTGACTTCTATGCCCTAAAGATCTACTGTAATGTTGTTTTTTGCTTTAAAAAAGGTTGTGTCCAATGCATATTTTATCCAGAATTTGTAACTTTTTTAAGCCAACATTTTTATTTTTATTTATCCCCAAATTTATGAGGTCTTAGTGGATTCCAAATATGTATTCTAAAATTCAGTATGAATCCTGAAACAGGTTTCTCTAAAACAAACAATGTTATGTATATAGTCTATGAAATAATTTCACTTTACCTGATGTTGCTATTTGACAGATAATAGGCAACCAGCATGTGAAAAATCTATCTGGTCTTCATAAGAGAAACCCACAATAAATGCCCATTGTCAACAGTCAAGGTGCTAATGACATATGCTCAGTGGCAACTGTGACAATTTCCATATTTTTTTCATCAAAACATTTTAACTTCAGCTAAAATTAGTAAAGATAATCATAACTTACGTGTTCTTTCATAGTATGAACATTTTTAAATTCCACTTACTCTGAATAATAAATTGTGTTACTTTAAAAAAAGTAACAACGAAGTAATGCTTCAATATATAATTATTACTTTTGAGCATCCTTGATGTGCCTGTAAGTTCAATCAAACCAGAAGCAGCATAGCATGGCTACATTTGATACACAGAAAGGCAATATAAATGGCAAACAGTAGAATCTTATGATTTTTAATAGAGAGAAGTCTGAATCAAAATCTTGCATTTCTATCCCCGATGCCGTTCAAAATCTGAACCCAGGTCTGAATTTTAAAAATGGCCTGTTTTTATTTATAGACCAAACCAAAACTATAGATAAAGTCAGACCTGGGATATTGGATCCAGATACTACAACTTCAGTGTACCTCAGTTTATGAGGTCTGTGTGTATGTGTTTTCCATTTGTTTTCAATAATAAATGTCGCTATTGTAGCTTGTAGTGCCTGTCTCTGATCTTCCCTGGAAGTCCCTGGAAGCTGAGTAGGGTTGCCAACTCTGAATCTATTCCTGGAGGTTTCTGGAATGCCAGTGTGTCGGCAACTCACGATGCAACCGTGCCTACATGCTTACATATATCAATTACGGATTACAGTGTGTAGACTTTACTCCAGGAAGGCAAATGCACATTACTATTACATTTAAAAAACCCGCTGGACTGCTGTATGTCAGATTCAACATGTAATATTTATTTTAATGAATGCCCTATCATTTATCTCCTGGGTGACTCTCAGCAGTCTCCTGGAGATTTATATCTATTTTTATTTTTATGGAAAAATTTTTTGTGTTCCAAGCCAAATCAGCCAAATCAATTCCAAATCCATGAATCATTCAAGAACCATATATGGCCCTACTACTGGCAAACACCCTCCACCCCCACCTGGGGCTTCAGATATTTTCAAATCCTGTGACGGGCATCCTATGTGCAGGCCCAAGCCCAGAGGCTTGGGGTTTGGATGCCCCCGGGTTTCACTTGCCGTCAGCCATAGGGCCACAGAAGCAAGCTAGGGAGGAGTCTCCCAGTTTCAGAAAGTGGGCGTAAAGCCAAGATCTTTCCACTGGAAATGAAAGTGGGAGGATAACCAACAGAGCTGTCCCTAGGGGTGTGTGGGACATATCAACCTGTGTGGGGCCAGTGGGTGGTGAGCAGCCAGAGTGCTGCATGGGGAGTCGGGGAGAGCCAGTGGCCAGAGCATGGAGTTGGGGGTGAGGGTGGCGAGTGGCCGGAGCACAGCACAAGGTGGGGGGTGGCAAGTGGCTAGAGCACGGAGCCAGCAGCACGTGATAGCCACAGTAGGACCTGTACAGCATTGTCCGTGGGCCCCCCAAAGCGAGGGGCCTGGGGCGGTCACCCTGATTTCTCCTCCTCAGGACGGCCCTGGTAACTATACATTACCTCTGCCCAGGTACTAACCCATGTCAGAAAAGTGGTTATCCTGTCTCTGGGAAACTCACTGCACTGATCATGGTGTTTCCCCTGACCCCAGGGCAGTCCTGGAGAGTTGGCAACCCTAACACTGAGGGTGTTCAATATCTGGCTGCACCCACTACAAACTCCTTGGGACAAGGGGTACAACTCCTCCAATCTCTTGTAGAGCAGCGAGCCCATGGTGGGTGCTTAGCAAAAAGGACCTAAGACACAGATGCCTCGTCTTTGTCAACTCAGAGCCATTCTTTTGAGAAAAGCCGCTTATTTTGCAAAGCCCTCTTTATGCTTTTAGTAGCTGTGTTGATGGGCCAAGTTTGTTGAGCTGGGTTGAAGCTCCTCCCCGGGGGTGTAGAACAGGAAGAGGTGGAGGTCAGAGGGAGCCGCTGGAGCTGTGTGTGTGTGTGCGCAGAGTTACCGTTACCATTTTACTATGTGTGTGTCTTATATTACAGCAATGCTGCACATCAGTGGCCAGAGAGAGGGGAGAGGGGAGGAAAAGCCTGTTTACACAGACTGCAAACCGCCTGGGGAATAATGCAGGAAAGGAAGTGAGCCGGCTCTCTGTCTGACTGCTCCAACTTCCTGCTCTCTCTCTCTCTCTCTCACACACACACACACCAAGGGGGGGGGAAAAGAAGAAGGAAAAAAAAAGGGAAAAAAATCCGGATCTCATTACAAGAGCAACAGAGCGTTTGCAGGAGGACTGTCAGCATGGAAAACCAGGGGATTTTAGCCAGCTCCCTTTAAACGACAAGGAGAGATTGGGAAAAGCCCGGCCAATTCTGGGTAGGTGCAAGGGCGGCTGGGCTGGGGCTGAAGGAGCGCAACAAAGTTTGCGTGTGTGTAGGGGAAGGGGGAACTGGACACGTGTGTGTGTGTGTGTGTGTGTG